AAGTGGATTAAAATAACTCCCTTACCTGGTTCATGTGACTGTGGCTATAACAACAATGAAGCTATAAGTGGATTAAAATAACTCCCTTACCTGGTTCATGTGACTGTGGCTATAACAACAATGAAGCTATAAGTGGATTAAAATAACTCCCTTACCTGGTTCATGTGACTGTGGCTATAACAACAATGAAGCTATAAGTGGATTAAAATAACTCCCTTTCTTGGTCCATGTAAGTTATTTTAATCCACTTATAGCTTCATTGTTGTTATAGCCACAGTCACATGAACCAGGTAAGGGAGTTATTTTAATCCACTTATAGCTTCATTGTTGTTATAGCCACAGGAATTTTATCTTTAGTTGTATTAAGAATTTGGCTGACTTGTTTATCAGTTTGTATATTGGAAAAATATTTATTTGTTTTTTTACATTTTTTCATTACTTGACAAGATAAACCAGGTATATATGATAGTATTAAACATTCTTTCTCACTTTTTTAAGCAAATGGTTTTAACTTAGTATTTCTATCTTTGTTTTTTTAGTTTTTTGACAGCTCTTTCAACAACATCTGGATTAAAACCTCTTTTCATTGCTATGTGCTTAATTAACAATAACTCATTATTGATATTATCCTGTTTACAACATAATTTTAGTATCCTATCCACATAAGAGTAAAAAGCACAGGTTTTTTTTAGATGTAGTATGACAAGATTGTTGATGTGGCAGAATGATTTCAGAAAATGGTTTACGACAAATGGTAGTTTCTAATTTATCCGTATTTTTAACTCACTAAAACATCCAAAAAAGATAAACACCCATTTATTTCATAATTAAATCTTATATAATTATCAATGTTATTAGCTAGTTCATATTTACCATACCACCAAATCAAAAATGTGTCATCTACATACTTTAACCAAACTTCAGATTTTTTATCTACTTTTTATAGTGCTTCACTTTCAAAACTGTCCATAAATAAATCACACAATAAAGGAGAACCCATAGCTAAACTTTCGTTCTGTTTATAAACTTTGCTATTACTTTGGAAAAATGAGTTTTCAACACATACTTCTACCAGGTTAATTATATCCATTATTTCTAAGACTGAATTATTATTTTCTTTCAGTTTTTTCTCAAAACATTTAATAGTTTTTTTCACAGGTACGTTGGTGAACATTGACACAACATCAAATGACACCAAAATATATTTTTTGATCTAAAATTATATGCTCAATTCTTTCCACAAATTCAAACGAATTCTTAACTGTGTATTTATTTTTATCCCTTAAAAATGAGAATTTTTTAGATATAAATTTTGCTTCATTCTGAGTTGAACTCTTAATATTGGATACAATAGGTCTGAAATTATTACCAATCCTATGAGCTTCAGGCAAGGCATATAATCTAGGTAAAATAAAGTTACTGGGAATTAAACTTTGCTTTTCATAATGTGTTAGTTATACAACTCTTAATTTTTTCTTTAAATATTGTATGAAGTTTATTTATAGGATTAAGTTTAATGTTCTCATGTGGACCTTCTTCAAAATTTCTTCAACTTTAGAATCATAATCATTTTTATTAAGAGTAACAGTTTGTCCCTCTTTATCAGCCTTACAAATGACAACATCTTGTTCCTTTAAATTTTTCAAAATTTCAAAGTCCTTTATATTATTATTTTTTAACTTAAATTTATTTAATAAAGTGCAACATATTGAGCTTTTTCATCGTTTAATTTTTTCAAGTTAGTGACAATTTCAGTTATGATATAATTTTAAAACCTTTTTTTGGACCAAATGAGAAATTTAACCTCTATTTAAAACATCAATCTGTTTATCATTTAGTATTAAATCAGATGACTTTAGGGTTATTTAAAAACTATTATACTTATCTGGCAATGAATCTAGTTTCTAATGTTCTTCATTCACTTCTTTTTTTTTTGAATTAATAAAGTTTTAACTTTTTGTCCAATGTAGTTTTACGTGTAGCAATATTTTTTTATGTATTTATCCATGACTTCCTATCCCATTCCTTCCAGTCTTCATTCATTTCCTTAAATAGAGCTAAATGTAATAAATACACTCTTTATTTCTTTTTTGAATATGAAACTTCTTTTTTGTTGAATCACAGTATTCAGTATCTTCTCTTTAGTCTTCTCAAGTTGATACTCCACTTTCTTGTTTTTAATATTGCAATTCAATTTAATGAATTTTGGCATTATTTTATTTTGTTTACACCTTATTAAAAATTTCTAGTTGTTGAAGGCATTTTTAACTTCAGTCTTTGTCTTGCAAAACATTTTGTCATATATTCCATTGCTAGATTCATTAAAAACAATTTTGGCATGTGTATAATGTTCAATGTTAAAAAAACTCAATTTTTAAAAACTGATTATTTTATAAACATGTGCCAAATAAATAAATAAAAATTTAAAATAACTTATTTAATTAGTTTCATGTAACTATTTATTTTATCTTCAACTAACTAGTGACTCATTTTTAAGTGTGACTTATTTTGTTAGGAAAGAATACAGTTCTAATAAGTACTGAAAAAAAGTAAAGTATTACAAAACAAACTTGAACACTAATTCCACTAGAGGATTATGTATCACATCCATCTTTTTTTCTTCTTCTGTGTTTAGAGAAGTCAAACAGAACCTAAACTTTTTTTACTGTTTCATTAACTAGGTCATCTCAGCCCACGAATGCAGGTTTCAGGAAACATGTGGCAGGAAGCTTGGGACAATTCACGGCCTGTTCCAGCACGTCGACAAAAGAGGTTGTTTGATGACACCAAGGAAGCAGAGAAAGTAAACTGAACAATTTTAATGTTAACTTATTGAGTATAAAATTGGGATTTGTCCTCCAAGGCAATTTCTTTATTAAGGATAAGTTAAATAAATATATGTTCTATAATCTTTTAAGCAGAGGCATCACTAGACATTTAAAAGATTTGGGGCTAGGGCCCATAGGCGTAGGAATTTTTAACATTTCAATGTGATATTGATCATGGTTATCTATTATAGTTTTTCAAGACACCAACTGGGAATTTGGGGCATTGTCAAATAGAATCGAAGCACAGCCCTCATGTGGCAGTGCCTAGCGATGCCTCTGCTTTAAGTTATAATTGTAAAGAAGAATATTGTAATGTATATTGCATTTTAATAGAATGAGTTATTTTAATTAATACATGAATTGTTTCATAAATGTAACTGTCATAACTCAGAAAGGGAATAGAGTATTTACTGATGTAGCTTGTTAGAAAAGTTTCACATTAAAATTTCAAATCTTATTAGCACATTTCCAAGTTCCACTTCTTTGATTTCTGTAATTTCTTCATTCTGTATGATAAGAAGGGCAGTAACTGACTTTAAAGTTAAAGTATAGCTTCTTTTTCTTTTGCAATATATCACAATAAGGAGGTCTGAGGAATTGTGTTTGTCATCCTGTGATGGCAAAGTTTGAAGAAAAGTTTACCCAAGATTTTGTTATACTAACTTCTTGTTCATAAGATGTTTTAGCTTGTAGGTGGTGTCAACTGTTCTTTATACAACACTAGATTTTACAAGTTATCAGTCTTATATTATGTTGTGTTACTACTTAAATTTTTAAGAAGTTATAACTTTCTTTATACTTGTTGAAAGTAAATGCTTTATTAATACCATTATAAAATAATAAGTTTCAGAGCTTATCATTGCTACATACTTTAAATGTTTAGCAGTGAAATAAAAGAATATTGTTATAAAGTTTTTTCTGCTGGCCATTTTAATTCAGTTGATTGAATATTTAAAGTTCAAAATGTTACTTTACAATATTTTGAAAATGAAAATGGGTGTGAAAAATTTGTGCACATACAGATATATCTAAGTATTTTATTATATTATTTAGACAAGCATGAGCTGCAAGTTTTCATCTTTATTTCATATTTTAGATTCTTCATTTTCTTGCCTCCCTGAAACCAGCAATGGTCGTTCATCATTTGCTACCAATGGTGATACATGCTGCAATTTTGTTGCTGGTTGATCATAGTAAGTATGTTTGTTGCTAATATTGTTATATGCTGTTTGTTAATTGTGATTAACATGACTGCTACTAATGGTGCATACAGCTTTATTTTGTTATTAGTTGTTAACCATGTTATAATATGTTTTCTGTATTGTTACTTGATGACCAAATGGTGTAATATGCGTCCACTCTTTTGCTAGTAGGCTTTTGTTTTTATAAAGCTTTATTTTTGGTTATAATATAAAAATTATAAAAATCTTTATGTATTTTATACCATGCATTAAAAAAAAAGATAGTATCAGGTATATAACTACATTCTAAGTGAAATGCTCAAACATAATTTTTCTTGCACTTATGAATATATAAATAGCAGTATAGTAATGTATTTTAATTTTAACAAATAATTATTTTCAAAGTTAGTGCTAAATGCTTATTTTTACTAGTTCCTGAGGGCCCCAGATCCCTGTCTCATACACTGGAACAGATTGCTGCTAAAGCTGCCAGGGTCATAAGATCTTCAGAACATAAATATGAGGTAAACAATGGAATTTATATGCTATCATTTTAGACAAAAATTATAACATCGAATATACTAGTTTCTTGTAAAATTCAGTACGACATAACACACAGAATTGTTTTCCCTTTTTTTTTTAGCCACTGCATAGCGAATCATAGAATGGCTCTGAGTTTTTTTTTTCAATTACAAACTTTTAGCTCATAGCTCAACCTCTTGACCAATTTGAGATCTAATTACAGCTATAGCTATTGAGGATTCCTTCTTGCTTTGGAAGACATAAGGGTGTAAGTGACTTTCAATTTTAGATAAAGTTTGACTGTTAAAGACAATCAGGATAGATTTTATTGTTGAGAAATATCTTTTATAATGTCTTTTTGTTACTGTTTTCAATATGCATGGAATGAAGTAGCTTTTCTTCTATTTTTTAATAAAAATTCATTAATACGTTTGCCACTGGTAAAAAAAGTGGTGAGGATGAGTTCTTTGTATACATTGTATGTATGTATTATTTGATTTCCTCATTGAGTGACAAGACAGACAAACCTGAAATTGTTTAGTCACTATATAGGATATTTCATTAATATGATCTAAATGTTAATATAATGTGCCTTTAAATTTTTTTATCACTGTTTCAGGAGATCTTAAAACTTATCTGTCAAGCTGAAGCAAATGTAGCTTGTGCCCAGTCTTTGATGTCCAAATTTTGCCAAACAGAGTCTAAGATGAAGTCAGGTTCTGGTGAGAGTGGTTTACCACAACAAGCTGAGAAGAAAAAATCTACAAAGTTAAAACAACTTGGAACATCAGATGAGACTGATGATGATGGTGTGTGGGAGTTTGTTCTAAATATTTTAGAGCAACCAGAAGTAGACGTCCCTGGTGCTGGTAAAGGAAAACTGGGAAAATTATTGCGTCGATTATTTGCTGAAGCTCAAATGGTGAAAAAAAAATAATTCCTTTTTCACAGTTAACTAATTTCTTCTCTTACCATCTGTTAAGAACAATGTTAAAATGTGATATAAGTCCTTCACATGTGTGGTTGGTTAAAGTGTAGTAATGTTTTATGTATTATGTCTATTCATATGTTTGTTGTGCGACCTCATAATGTTGTTAAATCCGTGCACATCTACAAATTGAACCCTATATGCACGTGTCATGGTCGTTTAATTAAACTCCTTTCCTATCAATGATAATAAACTTTGCAACAAAAACATAGTTAATAAATGAAATTTTGTATTAAGTTCTGTAGTGCATGACACTTGTTTGCTCCAGATTGCCCATTTAGATGTTCTTACTACCTCTATGTGATGTCCTGATTGAACATAAATTATACATTTATAGTATAGATATTACTAAGACATAATCTTGTTTTATAGCATCTACTCTTTTTCTGGTACAGAGATATAAACTGGAAAGCCAAACCCATGTGCCTTGTTCTATCACATTTTATTTTGAAAAACTGTCAGTAATTCTTTTGACATTTGCTACTGGATTATGTTTAACCAATAGAAAGGGAAAGTTTCAATTTACTGATTTCCATATATGTCTCACTTGTTCTAACAATAGGTTTTGAATTATTCGACTTACAACTTCATTTTGTTATAGCCACAGTTACATGGACCAGGTAAGGGAGTTATTTTAATCTATTTATAGCTTCATTGTTGTTATAGCCACAGTCACATGAACCAGGTAATGGGAGTTATTTTAATCCACTTATAGCTTCATTGTTGTTATAGCCACAGTCACATGAACCAGGTAAGGGAGTTATTTTAATCCACTTATAGCTTCATTGTTGTTATAGCCACAGTCACATGAACCAGGTAAGGGAATTTAATGGAAAAATTTGGAATACATATAAAATGTTATGTGAATGTAAAAACGTATATATAGGACAAATTAAAAGAAATTTAAAATTCAGAATGAATGAACATAAAAGAAATGTTAAAAATAATAACATTACTATTTCACTTTTAGCAGAGCATGTTAGTGAAACTAATCACACAATTAAATTGGAAAATTTTTTTATTTTAGCACAACC